AGCAGAGCGCACGCCACCTTAGCAGTAGCTCTCGTCAGGGCAGCGCAGGCAGCTAGTTCACAGCAGGTTACCGTGCTACCAGGAGGCAAGCTCATCGCCTCCTCGGCCACATCGCGCCAATGGAAGCTGTGCGAGCTGGTGCAGGAGGAAGAGGAGGAGGAGGAGGAGATGGGAAAATCAACCTGCACGCTGGAACCCCTACCTACAACGCCAATCTGAAGCCACCACCCACCTCCACATCCTTCATTACTGACACCCCCATCGAATGCACCACGGAGAGCAGTCTTACGAGTACTGAGGAACTTATCATATGCAAACCAGCGAGTAATAGTTTGGCCACCTCTGGCCTCCCACGACAATTTATCCGCACGCTCATTACCCTCACGAAAGAAATGCTTATACAGATTCTGTCCCGATGCAGGTGAGGTCAGTCCCCATCCAGACAGCATCGATACCGTATTTTGTAGTGTTCCCACCAGTCGTACATACTGCTTGTTGCGAATCTGCCACTCACCACACATCCAGTTTACAACAGTCTTACTATCTCCCAAGATCTCCATCCCAAGACGCTCAATATTCTCACACCTCCACTCCGTTTCATTCTCAAAATTTGCGGCAATACGTTTGCTCATCCTCTCATTCATCTCACTCTCCTCCTCCTCCTCTGCCTTCACATGTCTCACACCAGGCGGCCTGGGTAGAACAAACAAGTCGAACAAGTGTTGCATACCAATCACAGTCAGCAAATGCTTGCAGTATTTCTCACGGGACCCAGCGGAACTGTCGAATGAGAGGTACCACTCACAACCAAAGAGATCGCACAAGCACCAGTCCCACGCAGTATGTCCACGGGGGCGGCCGCCTATGTTCATGCGTGTCAGCTGCTTCCTATCTTTTACAGGCATTGCTAGAATACATGTGTCACGATGTTCCGTCCACTTCCCCCTTCCATGTAACATGGCCAGCCTAGATATCATCCATTCACGTGACATGTCCGACTCCTCAGGTATGGCAGGCTGATCATCTGGTGTACGCCGGCGACAGCCACTCGACATCTGGGATATCTGAGATACATGATATGTTTGAGAAGTCGCCGCCGCCGCCATCGCCCGAGTTTTCCTCTGACGCCGATTTGGTACCGTCTCTCCCTCCTCCTCCTCTGTGTGTGTTGTGTATCTCCTCATACGAATACTTGCAGCAACTGAGACATCCTTAGCCCAATCCCAACAACGAAATATCCATATCTGCACCGCACTTCGGAATCCAAGTCCAGCAAAACTCTGTCGTCCCGCTTTGTATCGCCTACGTTGAAACTCAGACCAGCCTTCAGTTCTCCGCTTGCGTATACCTGACATTATAGCTAGACATCTGCCTTCAAAATAGTGAACAGCAGCAATGGTAGAATAGTCGGGCGTTCTGCCCTCACAGTTGAATAATAATGCAGCAATCACTTTAGCTTGATAGCGAGTAAATCTTTCAGCCAAGTCAATCCCAGAACAGCGGTAATACGCGATTTCCCCAAAGAACATCCTCTGGGCTTTCTGGAGCATGGCCTCTGAGTCCGAGTGGTCCTTCCAGGTCTCCTCCAGAGTGGCTCCCAGGATCTCAAACGCTTGAACACGCGGTAGGACCACTTCTCGGGTCCCAAGAGCGGCGTCACTAGACGGCACCAGCACACGGATATCCTGCTCAGGGGACGGCGGGATGCCAGGCGGCGCACCAAAGTAAATATACATCAAAGATTTCGGCTTCCAGGTCATTCCTGCATTCATCAGGGGGATACTCATGTCACGCACCATCAACTCAAGGTCAGTGCGGGTCTTCGCATACAACAAAAGATTATCTGCCCAGAAACTGTGGGTCATACGCTCACCATTGAACATGCGCTCATCATTTTCCAATTTGATGCCGTACTGCGTTTCTTGCCTCCATCTGTCGATAACATCTCTCCAGAGTACAATAGAAACTGCCAGAAAAATCATAGGTCCCTCTACTCCTCCCGTTCGAATAGATTTGTCCCAATAGACCGCTGACGATGCCTCGATGCCCTCGAAGCTGGCCACGCACTGATTATCCATCGTGGGTTCAATGAACGCCACAATGAGATCAGCAGGTATGTCAAGAGCACGAAGACAGCGCATGGCGAGGCACGGAGTAGCATTATCGAAAGTTTGTAAGATATCCAGATTGGCAAGCCACAAACTGTCTCCTTTGCCCCAGACAGCGGAGTGCTGGCTGAGCCTCTTGGCAACGCTGGTGATTTCCGATGTTTTGCGTCCCGATCTGAATCCGTATAGGCATACATAGTGTCGGTGCTCCTCAATCCTCTTCTCAATCAACATCACAATGCATGTCATGTACCATTTCATAAGACACGACTGTAGAGGACTCGTAGAGCTTCCTTGCCATATATTATGCCTGAAGAATTGGCAGAGAACGAATAGTTTGTCAGCCTCCCCTAATAGCAGACTCGAATACAAGACTGAGTTCAGAGCTCTAGATGCAAGAGACGCACGCACCTGATGATGCTAAATCGATTGATGTGCGTACGAGCTGTGGCCCTCCCACGCCGAGTTAAATACAGAAATTCGTCAGCATCTGTCAAGATGACTCGAATAATACGAATAGCTTCACAGATCTAGCTCGAGTAAGCCCGAGTGAGATGCCATGGATGAACGCGCCTGCTGATTTCGAACGGGTTTCTGTGAGTATTAGTTATGTAGCTGTTTTACAGATCGAGTTAAGTCCAGAAAGCCGAAGCATCTGTCAAGATGACTCGAATGATACGAATAGGTTCGTGGACATAGCTCGAGTAGCAGACCGAGTTCAAACCTCTGGATGCGACAGATGAACACGCCTGATAATTCCAGATTGGTTTCTGTTAGTATTACTTGTGTAGGTGTCCTACAGCTCGAGTTAAGTACAGAAAACCGAAGCATCTGTCAAGATGACTCGAATAATACGAATAGCCTACAGCTCGAGTTAAGTACGGAAAACTGACAGCACCTGCCAAGATGATTCGAATAATACGAATAGTTTCGCGGATCTAGCTCGGGTAACAGACCGAGTTCAGACCTCTAGATGCAACAGACGAACGCGCCTGATGATTCTAAGAGGGTTTCTGTTAACATCAGCTCTGTAGCTCTCCTAAAGCTCGAGTTATACCGGAAACCGACCACGTGTCGAGATGACCCGATACGACCGATCCCTGAGATTGAGACGGTGAGCGGGAATACCATCGAATGTCATGGGAAACAATACTAGAGCTCTAACGAATGGTTGAATTTCGAGAACAAAATGTTCACCGACCAAGTCACCAGAAGGTCCGTCGAGATTTGTCTTGCCAACTGGCTCTCCAGCGCCCCAGAATTACTCATAAGCTTCCAGCAACTAGCTAAGGGAAGCTCTACGAGTTAAGTCAGCAAAAGGCGTCCAAAACCCGGAGAGCAAAGAGAAAGAACCGGCGGTAAACCGTCAACCAGGTTACCGCCGGGCCCTCGTAGAGCTCTTTTCTCGCACGGCGCTCCTCGGTACACATGAAGGAAGAGTTGGAGCAAGACCCCACAAACTCGAACAATAACATTTTTATGCTTTTATGCAAAGACAGTTCCCCCAAGTGTTTTGATAGTAATACTGCACCTACGGACTGGCGCCGGCGGTAAACAGTCAACCTGGTCACCCCCGGCAACCTCGTTGAGCTCCTCGCACAGACTAGAGTGCTCAGGAACGAAGCAGAGAGCTTTCAAGAAGATCTTCTTGAAATCGTCATTTTTGTATTTTTCGATGTTTATACTTGGTCGGTTCCCGGAAGTGAACCCATAGTAAAGCTCCCTGGAGAGAGCTGGGAGATCTGGAAACAAAATTTACATGCGTATGCTTAACGCAAAAATCTGGTTTCTCAAAAAAAATGGTCATATATCTTTCAGATATTCGCAAAACCACCCAAAAGTTGTCACTTCGCCCTTTCTGGTCGGCTCCACTCCGCGCCAGAATTGCTCTGGCTCATCGTTGCCGAAGAGCCCTACGCGGTACTTGAGAATTCAACTGGCAGACGCGGCATAATCCACTACAGATGCGAAAATCTGCTTTCTGAACTTGGAACCGGCGGTAAACCGTCAACCAGGCTACCGCCGGGAACCTCGTAGAGCTCTTTTCTTGCACGGCGATCGTCGGAACACATGAAGAAAGCTATTGGAGCGAGAAAGGAAAAACCCCAAAAATCACGCTTTTCTGTTGTTATCCAACGTCGGTTCCTCCAAGTGTTTTGATAGTAATACTGCACCTACGGACCTGAGAATTTTACTGGCAAACGCGGAATAACCCACTACAAGTGCAAAAAATCTGGTTTCTCAAAAAAATGGTCAAATATCTTTCAAATCTTAGGAAAACCGACCCCAGGTCATCACATTGTCTCTTAACGTCGGGTCGAACAACTAGCTCCACCCCGCCGGGAACCTCGTAGAGCTCCTTGCATCCATGAGAAAGCTGAGGATCAAAGCGGAGAGCTTCTGGGAGCTTTTCTAAAAACGTCAATTTGGGATTTTTCGGAGTCAACATGAAGTCGGTTCCGGGAAGTGAACTGGCACTGCAAATGGCTCTAGAGAGCTGAGCTGCTGAGGGGACAAAGTTTATATGCCAATGCTCGGCGTAAAAATCTGCTTTCTCAAAATGAATTGTCAATATCTTTTAAATCTTAGCAAAGACGACCCAAAGTCACCACATCTTCTTTTCTGGCCGGGTCGGCCAACTGGGAACCGGCGGTACACCGTCAACCAGGTCACCGCCGGGACCCCCCTAGAGCTCTTTCCGCTCCTCGGAACACATGAAGGAAGATTCTGGAGCGAGATCCGAGAAACTCGAAAGATTACGTGTTTCGATTTTTATCTAACGTCGGTTGCTCCAAGGTTTTGGTAGTAATACTGTACCTACGAACCTGAAAATGCACAGGCGCACGCGTCATAAACCATTGCAGGTGCGAACAATCTGGTTTCTCAAAATGAATGGTCAAATATCTCTCAAATCTGAGCAAAACCGACCCAAAGTTACCACTTTGTCTCTTTAGGCCGGGTCGGCCAACTAGCTCCACCCCGCGCCGGAATTCCTCGAGCTCATCGATGCCGAAGAGCTCTACGAGGTACTGGCGCCGGCGGTAAACCGTCAACCTGGTCTTCTGCGTCTTTTGCGAAGGCCGGTTCGAGCTCCCATGGGAGCAGGCCTAAACACAAAGAACCTCAACAGCGAAGCTGTACAGGAAGACAGCGAAGCTGCAAAGATTAAAGCAGAGGTGCATCAAACAGCGAAGCTGTACAAATATGCACAAGACTGCCAATACACTAGAATACAAAATGACAAAGATGATCAAAGAAGCTGTACAAGACAGCAAGAAGCAGTGAGAGACCATACAGTAACAACTGGTTTATACAGCGATTACCGTCTCAACACCACTGAGAAAGAACACGAAACTAAGAGAACTGAGATAGCGAGTGTGCTTTGACACCAGGCCTAAGTGAAACCTGGACGTGTGAAACCATGTCTAAGTGAAACCTGGTGTCGACCAGATCAAAGGCCTACTTTGAGGCACCACGTGACAAATCACGGAAAGCCACGTTCAAAGGTCAATGAGCACTCAAATCAAGGAAGCAACGAATGACCTAAGGGATCAGGCGAAGCTCTTATTCAACACACGCGCATGCACGACAACACACACAGGCATGAAGAAAGGCAACGCAATGTCAAAAACATACGTGCAGGATCAATCACATGTGCATCATCTGTGCCGTTTCCGATGCTTCTTGCCGCTCCGCGTCAATGCACTCATGGAAGTAGAACTCTGAGGACCCCCTTGTTGCAAATCATCCTCCTCGGAACTTTCAATTCCCATTTGCAGCCTGTATGCATGAAAAGCCTCAGTCCTACGCTGAAACTCATGTCTCGGGAGTCGGTGTAGCTCACGCCAAAGGGCACTGACATCGACACCGGCAAGGGCCCAGTCCCTGGCAGCTTGACACTCGTCCTCCGTCACTGCTGAACTCACAACTGCATTAGATAATCTCCCAGACGTGGAACTCCCAGGGTGTGAAGCCATAGAATCTTTATGATGAGAATAATGCAACTGCTCATTCCGCAACTCCTCATTCTGCGACTCCTCACCCTGCGACTCCTCATCATGCAACTCCTCTTTCAGAACACCTGGATCAACAGAAACAGAGACCTGAGAATAATGCAACTGCTCATTCCGCAACTCCTCATTCTGCAACTCCTCACCCTGCAACTCCTCATCATGCAACTCCTCTTTCAGAACACTTGGATCAACAGAATCTCGAGGCTGCACCACATCAGGAGACTCCACCACCTCCTTCCTCACCTTAAGATCTTCCTGCCCAGCCTTCCCAAGACAATCCGACAGAGCGTCCGGAGATGAAGCGTGGCAAACTTCAGAGCTGGAATCCAAAGAGACAGTATGCTGAGAATAATGCAACTGCTCATTCAGCACCTCCTCACTCTGCAAATCCTCATTCTGCAACTCCTCGTCCTGCAGCTCCTCATTCTGAACACCAGGAAGAAAAGAAACAGAACCCAGCACACCATCTGGAGACTGCACCGCATCTGGAGAATAAGCAACAGAATAAGACGAGAAAGCTTTCCCACGATCAGTTGGCCCATCGGGTTTAGCGACTCCGTCGAATGACTCAGTCATCACACCCAGAGCCTCTAGCACACGGATCTCTGGAGATTGCACCACGGCTGGAGACTGCACCACCCCTGGAGACTGCATCCCCACTGGAACGCACTGCAGAGTATGGATGTCAAAGAGGGCTTGTCGAAACATGGCGAGTCTCAGCCTTCTCGCTCTCCGCCGCCACGACGCGGATGGGAAAGAAGAAACGGGATAGGACATGGCATACACAGTAGAAGTCGACGAGGTACAAAATTGCGTTGTCATGGCACCACACACAAGGGGCACTCACCTGGTCACCGCCGGGAACCTCGTAGAGCTCCTTACACTGGTTAGAGTGCTCAGAATCGAAGTAGAGTCATAAAATGAAGATTCACCAAAAATCTTCATTCTCGATATTCTCTCGGTTCCCGGAAGTCAACTCTTGATAAAATACATCTGGAGAGCCGAGCTGCGCAGGGAACGAAGTTCATATGCCAATGCTCGGCGTAAAAATCTGATTTCTCAAAATAAATGGTCAAATATCTTTGAGATCTGAGCGAAGCCGATCCAAAGTCACCACTTTGTCCGCCCGGGTCGGGTCGACAAACTGGGCGCCCGCGGTAAACCGTCAACCTTTCTTACCGCCGGGGGACTCGTAGAGCTTCCTGACCACATGCAATGTCGAAAAAAATGCAGAGAACGAGTAGTTTTCCAGCCCACCTCTCGATGCAACAGCCGAACGCCCCTGATACTTCTGGATCGTTTTCTGTGCGTACGAGCTCTGTGGCTCTCCTACAGCCCGAGTTACGTGCGAAAATCGACATCACCTCTCAGGATGACTCGAACAATACGAACAGCTTCGCGAACCTAGCTCGAGTATCAGACCGAGTTCAGACCTCTGAATACGACAGGCGGACGCGCCTGATGTCTCCGAATCGATTCCTGTGATTACCAGCCCTGCAGCCCCCCTACAGACCGAGTTAAGTGCAGAAAACCGACAGCACCTCTCAAGATGACTCGAACAATACGAATGTTTCGCGGACCTAGCTCGGGCAGCAGACCGAGTTCCGAGCTCTGGATTCGACAGGCGGACGCCCTTGATGTCTCCAAATCGATTCCTGTGATTACCAGCCCTGCAGCCCCCCTACAGCCCGAGTTAAATACAGAAAACTGACAGCATCTCTCAAGATGACTCGAGCAATACGAATGGTTTCGCGAACCTAGCTCGGGCAGCAGACCGAGTTCAGAGCTCTGGATTCAACAGACAAACGCGAATGATGATTCTAAATCGGTGTGTGTAGTATCAGCTCTGTAGCTGTCCTATAGCTCGAGTTCAGTACCAAAAACCGACAACGCCTGTCGAGATGACTCGAAACGGCCGATCCCGCCTGGACGCTTTTCGGCAGTAAAAGGTACCCGATCGAGCTGAGATCAAGACGGCGAGCGGGAATAAGATCGACTACCACGGGAAAAAATACTAGAGCTCTAACGAATGATTGCATTTCGAGGAAAAAAATCAACCGACCAAAAGTCAGCAAAAGGTCTGTCGAAATTTTTCTTGCCAACTAGCTCTCCAGCGCGCCGGAATTACTGGGCGCCGGCGGTAAACCGTCAACCTTTCTTACCGCCGGGGGACTCGTAGAGCTTCCTGACCATACATTATGTCCAAAGAATTAGCAGACAACTAATAGTTTTTCAGTCCGGACTGCTAGCAGACTGAACTCAGGCGTCTAGTGATATCCCATTGCTGTGCTCAACAGTTCTATCTCATCTGCAGCGTGTAGAAAATACCATTAGGGAGAACTTCACGCCTCACGATTTCCTTCTGATTCTTCGGCCGCTCGAGTTCAGCTAAGCAATTCAGCATCATTTGGAAGGAATATCGGTCGAATACGAATAATTTTGTGAACCTAGCTCGGGTAGCAGACCGAGTTCAGACCTCTCGATGCAACAGACGAACGCTCCTGATTCTCGATCGGTTTCTGTGCGCACCAGCTCTGTAGCTCTCCTACAGCCCGAGTTCAATACAGAAAATGGACAACATCTGTCAAGATGCTTTGAAGAATACGAATAGTGTTTGCGGACCTAGCCCGAGTAGCAAACCCAGTTCGGACCTCTAGATGCAACAGACGAACGCGCATGACAATTTCGAATCAGTTTCTGCGCGCATCAGATCTGTAGCTGTCCTACAGCCCGAGTTACGTGCGAAAACAAGCAGGATGACTCGAACGATACGAATAGTTTCGCTGACCTAGTAGCAGACCGAGTTCAGACCTCTGAATGCAACAGACCAACGCACCTCATAATTCTGCATCGTTTTCTGTGCGTATCAGCTCTGTAGCTGCCCTATAGCTCGAGTTAAGTACAGAAAACCGACAGTCCCTGTCGAGATGACTCGAGGGATACAAATAGTTCTGTGAACCCAGCTCGAGTAGCAGACCGAGTTCAGACCTCTGCACGCGACAGGCGAACGCGGCTGATGTCTCTGAATCGGTTTCTGTGATTACCAGCACTGTATCTGCCCTAGAGCCCGAGTTAAGTACAGAAACCCGAGAGCACCTCTCAAGATAACTCGAACAATATGAATACTTTCGCGGACCTAGCTCAAGCAGCAGACCGAGTTCAAACCTCTGGATTCAACAGACAAACGCGCCTGATGATTCTGAATCCGTTTCTGTAAGCATCAGCTCTGTAGCTCTTCTAAAGCTCGAGTTATCTCCAGAAAACCGACATCGCGTGTCAAGATGACCCGAAACGGCCGATCCCGCCGCAGTGCTTTTTGGCAGTAATATCTACCCGATCGACCTGAGATTAAAATGGCGAGCGGGAATAAGATCGACTATCACGGGAAAAAATTATAGAGCTCTAACGAATTGTTGAACTCCGAGAACAAAAGTTTCAACCGACCAAAAGTCAGCAAAAGGTCCGTCGAGATTTCTTGCCAACTAGCTCTCCAGCGCCCCCAAATTACTGGCACCGGCGGTGCACCGTCAACCTGGTCACCGCCGGGAACCTCGTAGAGCTCCTGCCACGCGTGAGAGTGCTCAGAGTCGAAGAAGAGAGCTTCTGGAGGCATTTCTCGAAAAAATGAACATTCATTTTTTTCATGTCGACATTAAGTTGGTTCCCCCAATTGTTTTAATAGTAAAAGTGCGCCTACAAGACTCATAGTAAGACGCAGAGGCCCTCAAAATCGTCTACAGGTGCGAAAAATCTGCTTTGTCAAAATAAATTGTCAAATATCTTTCAAATCTCAGCAAAACCGACCCGAAGTTAATACATCTTCTTTTCTGGCCGGGTCGACCAACTAGCTCCATCCCGCGCCGGAATTGCTCTAGCTCATCGATCATGGGAACCCGCGGTAAACCGTCAACCAGGTTACCGCCGGGCACCTCGTAGAGCTCTCTTCTTGCACAGCGCCCCTCGGAACACATGAAAGAAGCTTCTGAAGCAAGAGCCGAAAAACTCTAGCAATCACGTTTTTGGGGTTTTCATCTAAAGTCGGGTTCTCCTAGCGTTTGGACAGAAACATTACACCTACGGACCTGATAATTTAACAGATAGACGCGGCATAACCCACTCCCATCCCCCTTCCTGCCTGCTCACCGGAAAAACTTATCACGACTCAGAAAAACGCATATTTGGGGGGTCGATAGAAAGTCGGTTCCTCCAAGTGTTTAGATAGTAATACTGCCCCTAGAGCCATAAAAAAAAACAGCAGCTGCGCCATAGCTTACTACAGGAAATGAAAATCTCACTTCTCAAAATAAATTCCAAAATTATGCATGAAGTGAAAAAAACTGGGCGCAGGCGGTAAACCGTCAACCTTTCTTACCGCCGGGGGACTCGTAGAGCTTCCTGACAATATATAATGTCAAAAAAAATTGCAGAGAACGAATAGTTTTTGAACCCGAGCGGTTTCGGACCTCTCGATGCAACAACCGAACGCACCTAATGCTTCTGGATCGTTTCTGTGCGTAGTAGCTCGTAGCTCTCCTACAGCCCGAGTTCAATACAGAAAAGGAACAACATCAGCCAGGGTGACTTGTAGAAAACATCTAGTTTTTCGGACCTAGCCCGCGTAGCAAACCCATTTCAGAACTCTGGATGCAACAGACGAACGCGCACGATGATTTCGAATCAGTTTCTGTGCGCATCAGGTCTGTAGCTCTCCTACAGCACCTCTGAAGATGACTCGAACAATACGAATAATTTTGCGAACCTAGCTCGAGTAGCAGATCGAGTTCAGACCTCTGGATGCAACAGACAAACGCGCCTGATTGCTCTGCATCAGTTTCTGTGTGTATCAGCTCTGTAGCTCCCCAAGGGCTCGAGTTTAGTACAGAAAAAACCGACAGTCCCTGTTGAGAAGACTCGAGCGATACGAATGGTTTTACGGAACTGGCTCGAGTAGCAGACCGAGTTGAGACCTCTCAATGCGACAGGCGAACGAGCCTGATGTCTTCGAATCTGTTCCTGTGATTACGAGCCCTGTAGCCCCCCTACAGCCCGAGTTAAGTGCAGAAAACCGACAGCACCTCTCAAGATGACTCGAAGAGCACGAATAGTTTCGCGGACCTAGCTCGGGCTGCAGACGATTTCAGAGCTTTGGATTGAACAGAGGAACGCGCCTCATCATTCTGAAGTGGTTCCTGTAAGTATCATCTCTGCAGCTGTCCTATAGCTCGAGTTAAGTACAAAAAACCAACAACGCCTGTCGAGATGACTCGAAACGGCCGATCCCGCCGGCCTGCTTTTTGGCAGTAAAAGGTACCCGATCGAGCTGAGAACAAGATGGCGAGCGGGAATAAGATCGAATATCACGGGAAAAAATATTAGAGCTCTAACGAACGGTCGAATTTCGAGAATCAAATTTTCAACCGACCAAAAGTCAGCAAAAGGTCCATCGAGATTTTTCTTGGCAACTAGCTCTCCAGCGCCCCGGAATTACTCTTAAGCTTCCAGCAACTAGCTAAAGGAAGCTCTACGAGTTACGGCCCCAGGTTACCACATCCTCTCTTTTGGTCGGGCCGGCCAACTAGCTCCACCCTGCGCCCGAATTGGCGCCGGCGGTGAACCGTCAACCTGGTCACCGCCGGGAACCTCGTAAAGCTCCTTCCACGCGTAAAATGCTCAGAGTCGAAAGAGAGAGCTTCTGGAGACATTTCTCGAAAAATTGAACATTCATTTTTTTGATGTCGAGATGAAGTTGGTTGCTCCAAGTGTTGTGATAGTAAATTTGCGCCTACAGAGCACATATCAAGACGCAGAGACCCTCATAGTCGTTTACAGGTGCGAAAAATCTGCTTTCTCAAAATAAATGGTCAAATATCTCTCAAACCTTTGCAAACCGACCAAAAGTTGCCACATTGTCCTTTCTGCTCGGGTCGACCACCTAGCTCCACCCCGCGCCTGAATTCCTCTAGCTCATCGATGCCGAAGAGCTCTACGAGGTATTCCTCTTAGCTCTTTTCCGAAGAGCTCTACAAGGTCCAGCAACTAGCTGAGGGAAGCTCTA